CTCTAAGGATTGTCATAATCACAAATGCCCATAAGACAATTCAACCCCGATGCCACCTCTTCACTATGATGCAGCCCACATCTGAAACATGCCACAGCTTCCCTTTCACTCAGAATTCAAAACAACATGATTCTGACTACTCAGGTGCCGCATATGGTCATTTCCAAACGCCCCCACTGCAAAGTGCAAGTACAACAAATCTTGCAAGCCAAAGTGAAAGTAGAAGGCGGTCACAATGCTGTAAAGCTTCGGGAAACACACATCCGAAACTTCCCCACAACACACCCTTGCATCTTGCGGACAAGACACTATGACCAAGGCATCTCTATGTGAATTGCAGGACATTCTTTCATCAAGCTCATGTTGTCCTCAACAAACATGAGTGTGATCGAAAACTACCTCAAGAACCAAATTCAAAACCAGAATTCACTCACAGAAATGGCCAATCCGACTTTTCATAAAACATGCGCCAATCTTCAAGCAAAGGAGTATGCATAGGCTAGAAGCTCAATGCTGCACCAGGGAAAGAGACATCCTGTGTGCCCCTCTAAGGAAAGTAACATCTTGGTGGGAGTAACCTTTGCAAGTTTCATAGCACCATTTTTCTGCAACCACAGTCTTTTTTTCTTTCAATCTCAAGCAGCGATTCACGTTTTGACATGCACACTAGTCGCAAGCCATCAAGCATAAGTGATCCACCCAGTGAAACGGTGGTCATTATGCGGCGTCGCGAACAGTCTTCTATTGCCCTACCTCTTTGCAAGCACCATGGTGACCTTCCCTCTTAATGGCGAGGATAGTTTTGCGTGGGTGGCTTTGTTTCGCTGCCGCAAAGGTGTGCTCCTCAAAAGAGCGCCAAATGGCTGTTTTCACCGCCACGTCGAAAACCGGCCATTTTTTGGCCAAATTGCTACAAAGTACTGCCAAATCCTCAATATTCAATGGGTTGACCTGAAAATTTGATAGCATACTTCAACAAGTATGGGTAAATTGTATTGGAAAATAATGTGAGCAGGATGGAGAAGTAATGCCCTAAAGTCATAGACGACAATTCATCTTGGACGGAGGAAGTGGATTTATCGAGTTGCGTTTTTGGTTCGACAACATTGCATCAATCAAATTATGCTCAAGCGATATCGAGTTTGTTGCGTTCATCCCACACACAGACCTGCTGTGATGAGGGCCCCAGAGCACCGGCATAACTGTGCTTTGAAAAATCTGCATGAAGAAATGTTGCAGCAGTTCCGCAGATGACTCTACAGGAATGGAGTCCTTGCCCAGCGCAGGCTCAAATACGTCGAGTGCCAGGTTGAGCGCACAGGTCCAAAATCCCTGCACATGTCTATTCAACATCAAGGCTCTGGTGCCCCTTCGCTTCTGTTGGAACGCAAGAATTTCGAATTCCGATCTTTAAACATTGGAGGCGAATATCAGCCATCAAATCCATGGGCCCACCCACTTAGATAGGTTACAAATACAAGCCGAATACAACCTGCCTTCCAGCGGGGGCCTATGCCCTTGCAACCCTGGTCAAAACTTGAAACACCCATCTGCCCCCCTCGCCATGTTATTGCTGGTCGCTCCAATCACGACCTCGGAGGGCGACAACGAGACCCAGCGACCCTTCCAGGGTCAAAAACAAAAGAATTCGTGTCGAATATTTTATTGTGCGCGGCAACGCCTGCTGCAAGAGTTATTCAGCAAGAAAAGCCGTCGCCTAATGAAAGGTCGCATGTGCACAGCCTCCACCGGTGTACTGCAACGTACAACGCTCCGCACCACCGCAGGTACACTGTCGCAATGCTGTAGTTTACACAGCACTGCAAAAGCGCTGAACAAGATATGTGGATGTACTGCATACAAACGAATTAGGACCCAATTGAGCCTGGCTGCCTGGCCCAGCTTTGCTCCTGGCCGCTAACTTGCTTCCCTGTCGCTGTGCGGTCAGCCTGCTCAAACCATTGTCAAACATAGCTAAGGCGCACCCAGCCATGTAGGGGGCGAAGGGTGCCACAAGCCTGTGCTGAAGACATTAACAAATGCTGGAAGCCTTGCGCTTGAGTACAATGGCAGCAGCCACCCATGCCCAAGGATGGACTTGCCGCCAGCCAGCCCACCTTCCAAGAAAGGAAGGCCAGTCCCTGGCCAGCTCCTGTGCACCTTTGGGGGATTCCCAGTAGCTGCCATGCAGCATCCCGATTCTTTGAGAAGCTGCTGCGCACCTGCCGAGCTCTTTCTATTGCAACTTCCTTCGAAATCCATCCACCGTGTTGTGGAGATTGATAAATTGAGCCTTTTGCATGCATCACTGCAGCGATGCGTCACGAAGAACTTCTCCATGCCCTTTTGTGATTGACAAATTAAGGCCTTTGCACACATCACTGCAGCGATGCGTCGCAAAGAACGCCTCCATACCCTTTTGTCCCAGGTTGGTGGTGCCAAAGAGGTAGCGCCCATCCATCGTGCAGAGCTCCTTGCAGTGGATGGCAGGGTCCGTGAGCATGTAGCCTTCACTGGCCTTCAGTCCCTGGTAAAATGCACATGGCACAGTCAGCACTCACATGAGGCAAACAGCACATCCAAACACCCTGCTAGAATATTTATTGATTTAGCTTGCTGCCATGCAACAAATCGCTGCACTTGCAGCTGTCAGTGTTGCATCTGTGGGACAAGCTCTGCTCTGCATAGGAGAAGGAAGCCCAACAAAGCGCAGAAACACATGGCAAGTGGCTGGAGAGTTGTCCAAATGTGTTCAGCCCTCTCAACTTTAGGGATTTGTGCCATGTAGTTCACATTTGACAAGCAGGGTGAAGTGTGCCATACATGGACAATGTGGGCACATTTTGAGGTTGTTTCGCTCATCGCTCAAAATGCCAGTGGGGTTGTGAGGTGTTGTTCAACCAACAATGTGAACCACAGATTACATTCCCTTCATGCAGTGGCGAGCAGCAACAATTTGTGTGTTGCAAATTGACTCAGATCATGGGGAGTGTGTGCGGTGAGTAGGGCCATACAAGTACATCGCAATTTGTGACTAGGCCTGTCCAGCCCCTCGATTTTGTCAGTGACATCTTGGAAACAAAATGCTATGTGGTTTTTGCCACTTTCTTGCCTGCAAACGCCCGGGCATTTTCATCTTGACCAACAAATATTACTAGAGGAATCTCACAACAGAGCTGAGTCAAGTGACACTTGTTGCGCTACGTTGAACGGATGCCTGCTGCAACTTGATAGTGAGCACAATGGGTTTTGGGTTCCTTTGAGGTGGCGAGCACCCAACTGAAAGCCAAAATCGAGCTTAGCTTTGCACCATGGACTGTGCTGTATTATGTAATTAGAAAGCTAGCAGTTTTGACTGAGAGGCCTTTAACTCCGACAAAGGATGAGACAAAAGACAGCATGCCATGCCTTCTAACGAATTTTGGCACGTGCAAACCGCACAATGCACTGCAGCTGGGTACAAAAATGGCTCCTGGTTGAGGCACCCATAGTGGAGTAATTATACACTACTGCCTCAGAAGGTCGCTAATCTGGCGGAGTCTGCATAGGGGAACTCATACACAAGTACATCCACAGATCTGCAGCCTTTCAGGCTGGATTAAACTGTTGACCATATGTTCATGGGTTTGGACAGCCTGTGTGTGCATCAGCATCTATCAGGAACAACAGGATGCCCCCAGATGAGCTGCAAAGATGAACAACATACTTGCTGTGGCGCTGAGTTTTCAATTCAAGCCCTCACCTGAAGGTCCACCACCATGAGAAACCCGTTGGTTGCACGGTAGGTCCAATGGCTAAAGGCTTGCAGCACATCATGCAAGCCCCCCACGTAGCCACAGTTGCTGTTGAACTTCTCAAATTCTCCCTTCAGCAGGGGCTCCAGGTTGGCATGGAAGGGCTCTTGGCGGCTGATCATCTTGATCGCCCGCACCCTGAGGAACTCAACCTTCTGTGTGAACCCCAGGCTGCTGAGTTTGGCGTTGAACAAGGTGGCCAGGTGCCCGGCCACGCACTGAATCTCCATCTGGTCCTCATACTTTGAGTAGTCCGATGGGGACTTGGCGTCATTCTTGAACCTCTTCATTACAAGCTCAAACATCTTGGAGTCTGAAAGCACACAGATTTGACTCAGCGCAGTGGAATGCTGCTCTGCGCGCAGTTTTCAGTGGATCGCAGTTTTCAGTGCTGGCTCCTCAGCAAACTCAAATTGTGCACGAAACTCTCCGCTCTTCCTTGATATGTGCATTAAATGTGTATGCCAACCACCTAAACAGGGAGCAGAACACTGAGAACTGTGTAGGCTCAAGATCTTCTTTGGCTTTGGTAGAGACAGGCCAAATTGATACTTTACTGCATATATAGAGTGGCCACACACTTTTGCGCCATTCTTGTACTCTGTTGTGTACCAAGGATTATATATTTTCCGCCGCTGTAGTGCATGGATCCCATGTGCCTCCACAATAGAGCCAATCAAATGGTGCGGAGCAGGTGATCATCGGTTAAGGAATGCCCTGTGCCCTGCGAAGCTGCAGGGATTCAATACCACTAAACCAGAACACATCCATTCATAAGAGAATCTTATCAGCATGCATAGTAATAACGAGTAACTGGTGTTGCCTTTTGCAAGTGCCGACAACATAACGGCTCATGGCAATGGCTGCACTGGCCAGAGTCACATTCTATTCCATGTCAAGACCATCTCCAAACAGAAAGCAGCAATAGGAATAGCAAACCTTTGCCACTAGAGGCTCAAATCATGGGCCAAAGCAAACCCACACCATTGAGCAAAGCACCTACTTGCCACTGGACAGGGTGCAATGAAGCTCACTATAGAAGGATGCTTGTAGTTGAAAAACATCCGTTTTATGGGTGGCTTGGCAATTTTCGTCCATGTCAACAAATCCAAACACAGGCCTCAAGCATGAGATAAGGGTATGAAGAGCCCATAATGGACCTGCAACTTTGCCAGACTGCCAAAGGGCTTGGCAATGTGCTTCAATGTACCTGTCAAGTGATGCCAAGCATTCTTCTGATCACAGCAAAAATACAGCGGTGCCAACAGAAGGTACTCACAGTTCCCGCTCCACTCACCTGATACATCCTGTGCATAATATGCACGCCGCTGGTGCCCTTCAGCAAAAGGCTTTGAAGCCACTTTCAGTGTCACTGCATGCTGCCTCTTCACCAAGTCCAGCCCCTCGCACAAGTCCTCCAGCTCTGTGGGCGGCTCGCACCAAACCTCCAGGGCCTGCTCCTCACTGATCTCATCCCAGTTGGGCTGCTTGCCGTGCATCACCACCTTGCTGCCTGATAGTGAGGCAACCTTCCTGCCTTTCCTGGCCCGCCTCGCCCTGGCCTTCTTTGACATCAGGTGCAGGGTGCCAGCAATGCTGGCTGTCACTGAGTTCACCACCGCATCCTGGAGTAGGTGAAAGGGATTTTAGGCATCTGTAATGAAGCAGCAGTCCCTGCATGGTATGATCTGGACAAAACAATTTGTGTAGCTCACTCCAGAACAAAGAAAGCGAGCAGGTGCAAGGGCACTATGTTTTTGGTCCCTTTCAATAAGTTAAACCACAAGAAGTGCATGGTCCTCGCATTCTGAGCTGAGCAAAACACATCATATATCTTGAGTTTGGATTTTAGTGGGTCAAACACAAGGTTTATGGCAAACACCCTACAGAAGATACAGAGAGTTTGTCCAAAACTCCTTTCAGCAAATCCTGCTTTGAATGCATTCCCCACACCATTCATGAAATGCTGCCCTCACAACAGGACGAAGTTCGGAAATTCTCCATCTTTGAAAAGGTGATCCAAAACTTTGACAATTTGCACTTCGAGCCAGTCGGCTTTTGCTGCTGACTGGTGCACAGGAACCAATAATAACAACAGAAAGGAGCAACAGAACCCAGAAGAAACCCACTGCCGATTCTTGAAACATGATAAGGAAGTCTCCAGACACATGAAGATGTGCTCAAAACCGACCTGCAGCAGGTTGGGCGTCCCCTTGAGGTCCACCTCCGATATCTTGAACCCCATTGGTGAGGCAATCTTTTTGAACTCTGAAACCATTTTGATGGTGTTGTTGGCGATGACATGGAAAAAATGGTAGGTAAGGGCCCTGTCCCTGAGGTCCGACAAGAGCCGCGGCGCAGACAGGCCACTCCTGTCTCTGCCCCTGGCATCAAGCTTGTGCCGCTCGTCATCGCCACTGGCCCCCTTGGGAAGGAATTTGTCTCCATGGCACGGGGCGTCAGCTATGTGGATTAGGATACGGGTCTCCGATTCCCAATTCAGGTTGATGGCAGCATTCAAGCCCCCAAAAACGTCCTCTGGGAAGTCACCCCCACCAAAGGGCTTGCGGCCCTCCACGAAGTCGGTGAACTTCTTCACATCCCTGTTGAAGTTGAAGACGTCGAGGCGGTCGTCGCCATCACAGAAGTCGCGGTAGCCCACGAAGGCGATCCGGACCTTGAGGTACCTAATTTTAATCAATACGATGACATTCAATACCTTCTATACATTGACCGCTGTTGATTGTTTAATTGTTGGTGCACAGATGCACGACATTGCGTCACAGTCAGCAATGCGCAAACACACTGACCACTGGGTACATACTGTTCTGGGTACGTACTGGACAAAATGCAACAAAAACACACTGTTCCTGCATCCTCAAAGCAACGTTCAGCATTACTCCATCCTCAATGTTTGCTAAAGACAGTTTCCAAATCTTCTCCCAGAATGCTTACTGTTTTTCACTCAGGACGTCCAGAGAGAGTACCCCAGTACCTGAATCTGGAAGTTATGTCATCGACCATTTCTTTGACCTTGTTCTTGACTTCTCGGATGTAGGCAGCCATGCTGCCGGTGCAGTCGACAACAAAGCAGAGGTCACACTGCTGGGCTTTTACAAACATAGCATCGATAACCATCTGGCGTTTTCTTGTCATCTCACACTTCTGCAGTGACATAACATCAGCAAATGAGCAATGAGGCTCAAACTGTGAGATTCTGTTCAGATATGATCAGCCAGGCAAGAAATGCGGGCTCTCAAATGCTCAACTGAATTGGCTTGCTTCTTTTCACGCAAGTTCTTGAGGCTGGGGGCATTCGTGTCCTAGGCTGTAGGATTCGTGCACTTAACTGGGTGAACTTGGGCCTAAACAATGCAACCAAGCTCGAAACAAGTACTACAGGACACATGAACCAACAACAAAATACACCCTGTCACAGCCCAACTGGATGGCGCAGCATGAACGACACTTTGAGCCACACAACTGCTCCCAGGTTTATGTCACCTCCTTCACATGTCCACATTTCCCAAAGTTGCTGGGATACCCCCATAAGATTGAATACTGGGAATTGATGTGAGCAGGATCGCATTGAAAACACATTTTGTGTCTCAAGCCCCAGGGTAGCCCCCATCACCAATCCACATCCCCCAACCAGCACCCAAAACTTTTAGAAACCCCCGTCAGCTAGCAGAATGTGCACATTATGATCATCGGCCATAAACTGGCAGCTGCAAGGTGAACTGGCTGCAATTCCCTACATTCCGCAAGGGGAACACAAAATGAAGTCACATGTTGTGGAGTAGGCTCATCAATGTATCCAACAAAACAATTTCTGCATCTGCGGTTGGGAGGTGCAGGGATGACCAATGCTCTGGGACTTTACTCTTGGGTGTTTGGGGCTCACACCCGTCCTGGTGACATTCTGCCCTTGTCACCCAGGTCACCAGTTGCCCTGGACACTGTACATTTGGTTCCCTGACATGTGCCCGTTGCTCCACCGCCCCACCCCACCCACCCCTGCAGGTTTCCTTGCTATTCATGCAACTCTGGTTAGCTTGCTGTCCATTTGTTGACTTCTACACGATTGCCAATGGAGAGGAAATCGTCTTCAAGACGTTTCAGGGGTTTGCCATCAGTATCACAAGGTTCCTTTCGCTTTCAATGACCACATTCTCCCTGCGAGCTGACCGGGTGTCCCCGTCTGATCCGCAATCCAATCGACGTCGATACGAGCGCAACACTTTGCACACAAGCGACGGGTTGCAAAATCGACGGGTAGTGACGGGGGCGTGTTTCGGACAACTCAGCCATTCTCCTGAGACCCACTGCTCGCACAAGCACAAGCGTGATCGAACAGAGCCCGTGATGCAACCGCGCACCGGACCCAGTCCCCTTCATCCAGTTCAGCGCGGCCAGGCGCAATCCGACAGGCCTGCCGCCGAACGCCCACAAGAGTCCAGCAGCGCTGCGAGGAAGCGCTAGCACAAGGGCCTTGACCACGGGACGCAGCGTGGGATCAGCGCCGATCCCCTACACTTCCACAAACGCCCGGGAAGGCGGGCGCCCGACATTCCACCGCAAATTCTCACACACACACACACACACACCTCCCCCCCCTCCTGGGTATTCCCTCGCTCCGTCACTTCATGAGACAATGCGCCGGCGGCAACCACGGGATTCCTCGATGGCGCTTCCCGACACAGGCACCGCGCCGCGAACGCCCATCGCTCCGCCTTGCCCCTCCGCTGGCTAGCCGCGGCTCCAACCCACCCCGATATCTTTCGACGGGATCTGATCTTCGGCTGCCTGCAGCCACCGTGCGCCAGGCCGAGACCGGCAGCACTCTCCCCTCCCCGAGATCCGTCCCCAGATCACGCCGGAAGGCCTCCCATGCCGATCGGGCTCTCGATACCGGCCGCCCAGCCCCACACTCCGTCGCATGTTGGCCACCACGGGACTGCCCGCCAGTCACACAACAGCCCCACCCCCCTCCCCGCCCAGCAAACCATCTCCGGCACTTCCGCGACGCACGCCGCATCCCGCACATCCCCACCCACCCACCCACCCTCCCCTCCCACGGCCCAATTCGCAAAGAAATTCAAAGCGTTCCGAAAAAAACGAACGCCGGGACAAACAACTTCCCCCTCCACCACCTCCAACCTCACCCTCAGCGCCTTGGCCACCTTCCCCATGGCCTCCACATCCCTCAGCTCGCCAACCCTCTCCTCCGGCCGGAGGGCACCCGCCCCGATCGGCCCCCCGCATCCCAGCCCGCCCTCCCCCAGCCTTCGCAGCACGGGCGCCTGGGCGCATCGCGCGGCGGGATCGCCGCCATCCCCGCCTGAGCTGGATGATCCCGATGGCTGGGCGGAGGCGGGCGGGGACCCGGAGCCGTCGGCGACGTTGGCGGAGTCATTGGAGAAGCGGCGGTGGCGGGGACGGCGGTGCCTGGCCATGGTGGACCAAGCGGCTAGTGGGAGGGGGAGGGGTTATTGGAAAGTGTGGGGAAGAAATGATGCGCAGATCGGGGCAATGTACCGGGGGATCTTTTTGAGCACGGGGGGTGATGCTGGGCGATGCGGGGCGTACGTTGAGGGCCGGGGGGGCCGTTGTTTGCTCTGCGGAGCCGGGTTCCGCGCTTGGGAACTGGCCACGTAGGCAGGTTGTGTGGCTGGACTGCGGCAGGCGTTGGCAATGGCCAAGGCCCCATCTCGCACTGTTGTCTTTTTCTTGGGATCCCTTGCAGTTGACTGTGGAGAAACGCACCCGACGTCGGTTGCTGGGCAAAACGGCCTGGCCCACTAAGAGCATCTTTATCGGTCGGCGCTATTGCACCGGCGGAGTTATCCAGGAACGGTTCTCATTGGCTGCCGTGCCACCTTACTAAGGCGGCATTTGCCGAATAGCACCGGTGCTACTGGCTCCTGTTGAAGTATAGCATAATGAATCGCGGTCGATTTCATCTATGCTCTGTTCATACTTCATTTCTGCTGTGTGCGCTTCGTCCAAGAGTTGATTTGATGGTTGAAGGATTGTCGGGTCGGCCATTTGTCATTGGCAACGGCGTTGGATGATTTGGCGGAAGAACAGCTGTGGGTTGAATCAAGAGTAGTGACAGCTGTTGTGCTTGAAAGGCACGTTGGATTATGTGATGGAAGTGCGGCTGTCGGGTTCAATCATGAGTGCGTTGACAGCTGGAATGTGTGAAAGGATTGATGGGAATGTACGATGTGTGGTTTGGCGTATAAAAATTGGACATGGGGACATTGTAACAAATCCTTGTCGGTGCTGGGTTCCGTGCTCCGAGTGCCGCAAGGCCGCGTTCCGAACCGCCTGGCAAATCGCAGGCCCCCGACGCCCAAGGCATGGCTTCCGTGAGGCTGCGCGGCAGGGGATAGCTACTGGCAAGCGTGCGGACGCGGGCCCCGAACGTGGGGCATCTCCACACGCCGGCGCCTTACTAAGACGCGCGGTGAAGGGTCGACACCCCCCGAGAGGGCTGTGCGATCGCGGGCGGAGGACCCCGTGCGCCGGCGAGGGCATTGGCGCGACGTGGGTTGACGGGGAGCGAGGGGAGGCTAAAAGGGAGGGCGCATTACGTGGTGCATCAAAGGAATCGCGAACCGTGGATGGGACTGCTGCAAGGCGGAGGTACTGCGGGTTCCGGCAGCGAGCGCGGGCTGCGAACGAAGGCCGAAAGTGGGCGATGTGCGGTCGCCGCTTCTCTGGCTGACTCCGGAGGGGAATCGCCCGTCATTCTGCACGTGATGGGGCGTTCCTTTCAACACTGCCTGCACACATCCGCAATGGTGGGTGCTATGCCTACACCGAATACTGTATACCAAGAAATTTTCGTGGAGAAAAAATTTCGCGTATTTTGCAGGGAAAAAAAATCGTGGGGAAATGTTTTCGCGCACTCGTCGGTGTGCGAAAATTTTTCTCCTGCAAACTTTTTTCCCTGCAAAAAATTCTGCCGCGCGCATATTATCGCTGCGCGACCTTTGCGGGTGGGGCACCAGCGGGTGCCCGCCTTGTCTGTAGCCTGATCTGAGGCCCAACAAACTAAGGGTCCCTTGGCGTAGTGGGCGACCAGCAGGGCCTACCCGAGTGGCCACCCGCGAGGCCTTGGAGGAACGCCCGGATTGGCGCTTCATGGCCGCCCATTTGCACCGCCCGCGGTGGCCTAGGATGGGCCCCGCTGGTGGCCCGGGTTGGCGCTAGCCCGAGGAGCAAGACGCGCCGCAAGATAGGTGTTGGCGCGGTCCCCCCTTGGCCACGTCCAGGTACCCTAGCCCGCGCTCTAGGGCCTCTCCGGTGGAAGCGTGGTCATCCTCAGCCGGACGGCATGTCCCAGGCTCTCTCTGGCCCGTGGGTGACGGCCGCTCTGTGCGGTCCCGTCCGAGGCGCGTGGCGGCTGCGCTCGAGGAGGCAAGGAGGCAGTGTGTTCCAGAACGATCAAACTACAATCGGCGCCGCCGCCAGGCGCTCTTACATGTGGCGGCCAAAATCATCAAAATTATCATATTTATTAAGCATCTCCATTTTGGCCAAACCCAGTTTCCGACTAAAGGCCTCGCTACGCTCGGCCCTTATGCCTAAGTCATTCCGGCCTACTCTGCTTTGCTCCGCATATGGCCTCCACGACTTTGGTGACGGGCCAAACAAGAAAACCAATGGGTCCTTACCACAATAGGTGCATCACAGGCACACAATTGCGCCACCCGCGGTGCCTTGAATCGCCCCAGTCAGTGGCACAAATGGCCGCCCGATAGGCACGATAGGCGCGACAGGCGCGCCTTCATTTGCCTGCCCATTCGCGCCCTCTGTGGTGGCTTGGAACGGCCTCCGCAGGCAACGCGAATGGGCGCCCGTGAAGCGCAAGAGGCGCAGCAGGAATGGCGCCTCGCAGGCGCCCATTCCTATCACCCGCGGTCGCCGAGGGTATTGTTCCTTGCAGATGCTGACACGACGATGGCGATTGGGGAGAATTTGGAGACCCCTCCGCTTTGCTGGACCCTCCGGAGCCACCCTGTGGGCCGTCCCCAGGGCGCGCTCCTTGCGTACGTTTGATGGACTTGATGCAGGCATGGATTCGGTCGCCGATCGCTTGGCAAGCCACACTACGCCTGTGCCCTCGAAATGCTCCCAACAACTTGTGGGCTCCATGGAGACTCAGC